CATATCTTAATCTCATATTACACAACTACATATTTATAATTCAATTTAGTAATTTTTAAGTTTTAAAAATTGTCATTTTAAAGTTAAAATATAATTTATCTATTGAAAATGTTTTCAACTGCAAAATTGTTAATTTGGCCTGAAGAGAAGGCGTCGGAGAACGCAGAACGTAGTCATCAAGTGGACAGTTTGAATTTGTTGATATTCGTCTGCCTCCTGATTTTGACCATCTTGACCGTCTGGCTGTTCAAGAGAGTGCGCATTCGATTCGTACACGAGACTGGCCTATCCATTATTTATGGTAAAGGAGAAATGGTTCAATCCTTCATCACCTGCTTTTTGTGCAATTTCCAATTTCATTTTTCTTGTAAAACTTTTTATTTTTAAATTTAATGACATAATAAAAAATAAAGATATTGAATAAGAATAAAAATTCTTTAAAATAAATGTTTAACAAGAGTAAGATAAGTAATGTATTTATTATATGAAAAACTTTTTTAATATTCAATTTATTAACTAGGTTACCGGATGGACTTCCTACCGACTCAATCAATAAATAAAACCTAAACTTTTGTATTAAATAATTTTAAAACAGACAAAACGAATCCGTATTTAATAAAAAAGCATATTTTGAATAAAGCATGAAGTTTTATGAATCATAAATTATAACTTGTTTCATCATTGAGAGACTGACAATAATAAATAATTTGTATTTCATCATATTATGATCATAATTTATAATGAAAATAAAATGGTGTTTGCACTAGTTATTGCTAACCTAATATGTGTAAATTAAATTTAATGAGAAATCAATGCTATTTAGTTGATTTTTTAAGAAAGCTTTTTTAATCTAACAAAAAAAATTATGAAAATAATTATCTTTAAAGTTTATTCAGGGAATTTCGATATATATAGGAATTTAACTACTATATACTTTATCTAATAATTTTATGTAGATTTTGTAAACATACACAAAAACCTGCAACTAAATTTGATATGTTAATTTATATACCTTATGTATAAATTATAAAATATAATGGATGTGTGACCCCATTGTTGATTTTTTGTTACAATAAAGTTCATAATTAGAAGGATACAATGGGCATATCTCCATATCATATGGATATGATAATTTCAGTCTATTTCTACACTTATTCAAAGATCAATATTTACCAACTTTTATTTGATAATTATCATTATAATTTTTGAAATGATAATAATAATTCATATCAAATCATTATTTTTTTCAAAGGTTTGATAGTTGGAGCAATAATTAAGTACAGTTCATCTCGGTTGTTTCCCCATCCAAGCATGCCACAGGTTGAGTCCACAGCAGTGTTTAACAATGTAACAACTCCCCAGACATCACCAAATTATTTAATTGCGAGCAGCATTGCTACATTTATGAACATAACAGAACCACCTGACCAAGTCAAGGACATCACAGTAACGCCTGCCATTTTTCCAGAAGAAGTCCGACATATTGATTTGGATGAAAAAGTAAATTATACATTTTATTTTATTACTGATTATTGTTTTCAGGCAACTTGGTTTTAAGATTAACTCGAATGTTATATTTGTTTAGAGGTTGTAATGAAAAGTGAAATAGTATTAAAAAACGATGATGATGATCATCATCAGAATGATAGGGATGGTTATCAAGATGATAATGATAGTGATGAAAATGATGGTGATGATGAGGATGATTATGATGATCAAGATGGTGATGAGGATAATCAGAGTGTTGATGAGAAAAAAGATGATGGTGATGATAAGGAAAATGCATGTAATGGTGAAAACGATGATAATGATCAGAGTGATGATGACGTCATATACAAATATAAACTTTTAAAAGTACTCTTTCTATGCTTGGCTTATGTCAGTTGATAGTTTTTTTTTTTTTTTTTTTTTTTTTTGGTTATACAAAATATAAAAAATATAAAATGTATGTAACAGGCAACTTTTGATCCTGAAGTCTTCTTCAATGTACTTCTACCTCCCATTATATTTCATGCTGGCTACAGTATGAAAAAGGTTTGTTCGACATTACATTTTGAAATACACACACAGCAAAACCTACTGCATGCATTTTCATATGCATACATTTAAACAAACAGCATTGTTTTAGTTTATTTATATTTAATACCACAATTAAAGTTTATTATGTATGTTAAAGTATATTTTTATTATGTATATATAAATTTATATATATATATATGTATATTTATGTATGTATGTTGGGAGGAGACCATATTTTATATAGTATTGTATGAATTCTACCGAATTGTTGGTATTGATCAATTTAAAGTTTGTCCTTTCAAATTTCCTTTCTAGAATTTTCTTTATACTAACTTCAATAACAATGAAGAACAAAGGAATGACAACAACAAAGATGAAGAATACGACACCAACTAATAAACTTTGCTAAAGAACTTTGCTTTGTTTAAATAAACTATATAAACCAAACCTACACTGAAGATGATTTATGAAAAATTGAAATAAGGCCTTATCTGCCTGATGAATTTGGATAACAACAGTTTTATTAAATTTTAATGATGAACTTGGATAATTCGTTATTCATTCTCAGATATAGACATTACATCAAATGCATTAGCTGTAAAACAACCAGCAAATAATAATTTTTCTATTCCACAGAAGCACTTTTTCAAAAACTTTGGAACGATTGCCCTGTTTGCATTTGTTGGTACACTCGTGTCTTCATTCGTGACTGGGTAACCTGACGTTTTGTATTCATTAATTAAGCTTTCACTTTACTTTTGTCTCACTAATTAACTTGTTGAATTACTCCATAAATTTTTCTCTTTAAGTAGAAGATGTTAACATGATATTTAAAAATAATTAGGGCATAGAATGAAGAACTATGTAGAAACTGTTTAAATTTGTAATCAGTACATTGTATATGTGCAATGTGTGTATAACGTATGCAGTAGCTGGAATGGAATTTGATTATTTTTGTGCTGTTTATTACATGATGAAACATGTTGTTAATATGTAGAGTGGAAATGTTTGGTAAATTCAATGAAAGTGTCATCTATTTTGAAGAATTCATTGCTAAGAGCAATAGTTTAGCCAAGGCAGTGTTATCTGATCTATGGGAAATCCAACACTAGATATTTGTCAGTCATAAAAATTTTAATATTAAAATTTACTGAAATCCAATCTACCATCTACTTCTGTTTGGAATATTATTTCCAAAAGTTTTTCTGTTCTCTTTGTTTATGCCTTTTATGTTAATAAGTGTACAGTACATTTTACAGTAAACATGTAACATGCGATTATGTTCATCTGATGTTCTCGCCAACATATAGTGTAATCATGTTCCTGTTCATGTACTTGACTGGAGCATTCTGGTTGTTTGGAGATTGCCTCAAGTTTGGATCACTTATATCAGCCACTGATCCAGGTGTGAATTGTGCAATGTTATTATCATTATTATTATTGTTGTTGTTGTTGCTGCTGCTGTTGTTAATGTTGTTGTTGATTCTTAGTAAATTTCTCATACTAGTGTCAGTCTTAACGATCTTCAATGACCTGAATGTTGACGTTGACCTCTATGCACTTGTGTTCGGGGAGAGTGTCTTGAATGATGCAGTTGCCATTGTGCTTGTTAGGTCAGTTTCAAATGTTTCCTCTCTTCAATGCAACTCCTCCGTTTATGATCTTTTTTTAATTTATAATTTTTTACTGCAAAATCAAACAAAACTATTTATATAAAAACTTTGTTTTCTAAATAACTATCAAATTTTGTCACCATGTCACCAGCACAGTCAACATGTACAAGAGTGACAAGTCTGGATTTGATGGCTTGGCAGTAGTTCGATCTGTTGGAAACTTTATTATTGTATTCTTTGGAGCATTTGCACTTGGTATTGCAATGGGTTTTGTAACTGCTTTGGTATGCATCTGGCATTATTTTCCCATTTATAATTTAACCTTTTAATAAATTTTTTATTTCTTCTAACTTTCTCATTTTTATTTATTATGATTTTGGTAATGCGCAAGACCACAAATTTATGATTTTTAATGCTTAGACAGAGAACTTTTTAATGAGAAAATTTTTTAGTAACTTAACTAAAACTACATTTAATAATATCTACCATTAATTTGGCCAAACCTGCACCAAGATGACCAAGTTCACTCACATCAAAGACCACCCACTGTTGGAAAGTTCCTTGTTCGTTCTCATGAGTTACTGCACATTTTTAGCCGCAGAAGCTGCTCAAATGACAGGTTGGAAAATATTAATGCTTCCATTTCTGAATCATCATTATTTTTGTCATCATCATCATTGGTCATACCTTCATTTCATTTAATGATCTATACTAGATTAAAAGCTAGACATCTGGAGCTAGACAGGTATAAGTTATTTTTTTTGTTTGATGGCTGGCCATCCTCCTTGCTCTCTTAAAAACTGGTGTCCTGTTTAATCAATGGACCTGGCTTTGTTTTTTGATTGGACGGTCAGATTCTATTCAAGATCTTAAACTCAAGAAGGAATGCTGTAATAACATTTAATAAACACAATGGAAATTATTTGCTCTCACATTTTATTTGCATCTGCCTACATTTGGTAAGCAGAATTGGGCCTTACTTTGGTACTTCAATGAAAAGAGGGTGAATTTTTGTTGGAAAAAGTACCTGAACATTTATTAGGTGTGGTGGTTTGAATGAAAAGCTGGAAAATTAAAAAAAATCTGCTGTTTTACAAATTTGAATAGTTTTGCAGAAAATATTATAACTAGAAACAACTTATGAGATGCTTGATGTTGATGAGAAGAAAAGAATTATCACCTGGACCATGTTCGAATGCTGAATATTATATTTACCTTTTAATATTGATCATTTTTAAATAAAATTTTAATGTGTTTATGTTCACTAATTTGAGGTGAATAGCCAGTGATTTAAATAATTCTCATAGATCAAAACAATAATTCAATAGGAATAGTGGCATTGTTATTTTGTGGCATCTGTCAAGCCCACTACACATACAGCAACATGTCGACAGAATCCAAGGCTCGAACTAAACAGGTTCGTCTTTTTTCTCTCGCTTGCATTCATTTTGATTGTGAACATAACATTGCGTCATTAATGATGCATCCTATTTGATGGCACGCAGGTTTTTGAACTACTGAACTTCCTGGCTGAGAATTTTGTCTTTGTCTACATTGGCGTGTCAACTTTCACTTTCAAGAAACACATTTGGAACATTCCTTTCATCTTCATGGCATTTGTATCTTTTTCACTTTCAACACGATGATGATGATTTCTTAAATGTTCATAAAGCGTATGATAACAAGTCATAAATGGCCATAAATTTCTTATTTTCTCATAGAAGTTTATGGGGACTGTTTATTTCTGTTTTAATCTAAAACAAATGTATTTTTCTTTAAACTAACAACAATCGACTACAGTTTGCAATAATAATAGCTCGAGCTCTTAACATCTACCCACTCTCTCTTCTCTTAAATATCGGGAGGACGCCCAAAATTCCTGCAAACTTTCAACATTTCATGATGTTCAGTGGTTGGTTCTGCATGAATATTTCCATGTGATGATGTTGTTGTAGTGAGTTGTGGCGTTTTGATGTTGTTTTGTCATTCACTATATTGCGGTAGCTATAACAATCAATCACAACTTCTATTTGAAACTGACAAATTTTATCTTTTTGCCACATTTACAATAAACTAAAATGTTCGTTCGTTCGCTTGTTCGTTTGTTTGTTAGCTAGTTATGATTAGGTGCCTGGCATTGTTGTTGCAGTGACCGGGTTCGAATGTAAAGAGATCCCCTCCTGCTACATGCAAAAGTGTGTGATGCCTTGGTTCACGTGTAGTTACATGCACTGTTTGTTGTAATAATGATAATGCACCCCAGTCACTTGCCATGGCGCTTTTAAAATGACATTATTGTATTTATAATTATTATTATTTTTATTTGTTTCTGAAAATGAACTTGCCCAGGTCTAAGAGGGGCAATGGCATTTGCTCTGTCCATACGAGGCACCAGCACGAAGGAGGAGTGCACCATCTTCACAACCACCTTGGTCATCGTCATGTCCACCATCATCCTCTCTGGTGGATTCACGACTCAAATGCTCTCCTGGCTCAAGATCAAAGTCGGACTACCCGAACATGGAGAAACTCAAGGATTTGAAACACTCCACTCTGTTGGTCCCTTTTGTCTGTTCCTTCGGTTCTATTAATTGGTGTGGTGTGCTTGCTTGTTGGGCTATTTCAGCTTATTCAGCTTATTTATATCAAAAACTGCCAGAAAAGTAATAATGATTAAATTTTCAAAAAAAAAATTACAAAACTTTGAAAGAATAATTGTTGTTAGAGTCCTCAGAGGTATGTCATGGACCAATCATCTTCCAGATCACTGATTAACAGGTATGGCTTCTTCAGGCTGTGGTACATGTTTGACAGCAGGTGAGCATTTCTATGATGTTCGTTTTGGCCAGCCGAATACTATTACATTCGATGAAGCTTATTATTTTTAACAATCATAAGTTTTTGATGGCTGTGGTTGATTCATCACATCGCACACTAACCAGGTTTTTGAAACCCCTTCTAACTCATTCACGCCCGCCTCTCACAGACACCCTGCCCAAATGTTGCCTCCCACTTTCTCTGCTGCTGACTACCGAGCAACAAAAGCAACAGGTACGAGCTGTGTGGTGTTACTTTCTACGGGGATGCATTCATCTGTTACATTTCAATTATTGCGTCGTAACATTTTTATAGATCGGCTTGGTGGATGGTTTGAAAGATGACGAAGATTCAGACTACGATTTCATGGCGTCGACTGTTGGCAATGACATCAACCTCGAAGAAGCTCTCTTCTCCAATTCAGTCTTCAACACAGTGCACAACAATCAAAACATCAACAACAGTAGCAGCATCAATAACGATGTCAGCAACACTACCAGCAACATCGTCAACAGCACCAGTCCCTTGAAGTACACATTTGAAGGCAACAACAACAGCAACAAAAATAACTACAGCCTGCAGGCGGGCAATTCGATCACAAACATACATGACCTCTACAACAACAACAACAATATCAGCTTGGATAGTTGCAACAATTACAACAACAACAATAACAACGACGTGTTTTATGAAAATGAGGATAATGATTATGTTACCAATGCCAAAGCTGATGTCTTAGATCCCATCAAACAGATGATCAATCAATCAATGGTAGGCATTTAATCATTTAATTTTGTTAACAATTTTCTTTTAGCAACTAACCTTCAGTCTAACTATTTTCATGATTGTGTTCTTTTTTCAGGACCAATAAAAATGGACGCATTAATGTGTTTTTGACATATTTTTTAATTTAAATTTTTTGTAAATTTGATAATTTGTTAAAGTTACATCATAATCAGTGAGCGAATGTATTTTACTCTGAAGATTTCAGTTCAAGTCAAGATGCCTGGAGCCAAAGGTGATCCAGTCTGAAGTTTGAAGATGGTGACGGTGAAGATAGTGATGGTTAAGATGGTGGCAGTGAAGATGGTGATGGTGGTGGTAAGGAAAGAAGTTGATAAAGCTTGGTAGTGAGAATGAGTAGTTAGTTGTTAAACATTGTGATGACGTGATATAACGGATGACAACGGATTTATGAGAATAAAAATGAACATTGTTGTTGCTCTTGTAATGACAGTTATAGTCATTGTCATTTACACGTTACAGTGTTATAATAAACCATAGATATGCCCCTGGTTGAAAAACAATTATTTGATTTGCAAGTAAAATTAACATATTCATTATAGTTTATAAGCTATCATTATTCAACTTTGATTAAATGATTGTGCCACGCAAGTTGCGTTGTTCAGTATTTAATATTTGTTTTATTTTTGTGATATCATTTTTATTTGTTGTTGTTTTTTATGATGGAGTTGATGACGTTTGGATGGTTGTTGGATATCAGGATCAGTAGGTTCAAAGTTTTATGCTGGCCAGGGTGAATGAGGAATATTGACGAAGATGATGGTTAAGATGATGGTTAAGATGATTTTGAGGCGGTTTATCTTTGTGTGGTTTTAGTTTTTTTTTCATTTTTTTTAGTTGTAATTTTTTTCATTTTTTCATAGTTAAGTGCTTGTTGCTTATTTAAAAATGGGACAAAGAAATAAATATATGAAGTTTGTTTGCAAATGCATAACTGCTCGTTTACAAAGTGCAAAATATCTTACATTATATCACTGTAATATTCTTTAAAATATTTTTTCATAAACGTTATCAGTTTTTCAATTAACTTGAATAACCAGCTATATATTAATTTGAATGTTGTTTTACTTATGTAAACTTCTACCCAATATAAACACAAAGTTTGCGCATATTCTGTCAACTCTTGCAGTATAACCTTTTAAATATTTTTTTTGCATTTGTGGTGGCTGTAAGTTATAAAATAATATAAAATAATTGTTATATATAATCTTTATCGTCTATTTATTTGTGCATATGTAATTTTTCATTCTCCATACATTTTCTCACTGGATGAACGGTTGTGTTTCAGTTATCTTTCACGTTTAAATTGATGCGACCTAACATCAATTTGCCTGTTGTTACTTTCAAAAGACAAGTTTTAGCCTGTTTGTCAGACTCACAATGCTACTTTGGTATCATTATTTAAATATTTTAAAAGTTTCGCGAGGAAGTTCATCGAGGATAGCCGCAATTTTTCCAGCATGTACAGTACATATTCCCAATTTTTATAATTAATACATTTATTTATATACGGTTATTGGCAATGTTTAGTGCATTTTCTCGTGTTATAAATTGAAATCTTTTCATACATTCTAGTCACTTTTGTGCTTTCACATTTTCACCAAAATTAATCGCACACAGACATCAACGTATTTTTGGGAAGGCTACATTTTATGGCGATGCCGCCTTTTTTCGCCAGGTAAAACGCGCACTGTTTGGCATCATCGGTGCTTTTTTCATTTATATTTTGTTTTTTTTTTTTGAGTAGTATGAATTTGTTACAATTTTATAATTTTTCATTTATATTTTATTTATCTGAATTCATCGTATATTCATTGTTGGATGAGTTGTTTCTCAATTTTAATTCGTTGTTTCCATTTCGGCTTCTTACATTTGGTATTTGTTTGCATTGAGTTTCATTTATTGAAGTTTTTAATTTTTTATTCGAAGTCTAGTATTATACATTTCAAAAGTCATATTTATAATTTGAATTCTCTTTCCGTGTCCATGCTGTTTTGCGTGCTTAGAGCACAGAATTGTTGCTATTTTAAGTTTTACGAAATAAACGAAACAATCTTCATTAATCTCGTTACAGGAGTTTTGGCTTCACATTGGATAACAGACAAGCGCCTGGTTGAAAAATGACCAAGCATTCATTCAGAGTTATTAACTTTGCGATGGCAGGACATCAAAACAGGCTTACAAGCGCTCGACATTGTATACTTTTACAAATTGCTTTTCATGCCGTGTAATTCAATTCGTACGCATGAGATTTGCCCAAACACACACAACAGTAAAACAAATATTATTGTCTAGCCGTACAAACAACACACACACATACAACATATATATGTTATATATAAAATCGAAAAGCGGAGTATATATTTATATTGTTATAATACTCGCTGTCGTAACCGATTTACGATGCGACGGGTTCAAATCCTCGATTGAATAAAATATTCCAAACAGTTATTAAACTTTATTTACAGAAGAAATCAACTAATCGTTTATTTCCAGTAAATTCAAACTAACGCAACAATTAACTTTTAAATCGTTCAAAATCTATCGCTATGACAACGTCAACAAACAAATCAAATATCGCTTTAAATAATTCACCGAATCGCTATTCACAAAATCACGAATTTCACTAATCACGAATATCACTAATCACGAATTTTACTAATCACGAATTTCACTAATCACGAATTTCACTAATCACGAATTTCACTAATCACGAATATCACTAATCACGAATATCACTAATCTTCCTGCGACGTGCGCTTATATACTCTTCGCAAGCGTCGTTTCTAGATTCTTCCAGATGGTCCGATTCTAGCATACTCAAGAATGCTCCAGTCACTAGAACATTCCAGAATACGCTAGAATCTAGTGCGTTCGGTAGCACGGTTATAACATTACCGAACAGCTTTCGTTCCGGTGTCCGCATGGTACGGAGCCAGTCTATCCAAATGAACGATCTTCATTCTTGCTCTCGGCTTCCGATATTCCTGAATACGGTAGACGACGTCATTCAAGTGGGTAATGACTTGATAAGGTCCTTCCCACCCTCGCTGGAGCTTTGGAGAACGTCCTTCTTTCGCTGTGGGTTGTACAGCCAAACTAACTCGTCGACAGCAAAACCGCCACTGCTTCCTTTCAAGTCATATCTGGTTTTGGCCGCCTCCGTGTTTTTCATAATTTTAAGGCGCACATAACGGTGGATATGGTTTAATCGCTGTCGAAGATTATCCACGTATTCTGTTAATGGTTGGTGTGGTTCAGGTGGTACGCCATATTTCACATCAGCTGGAGTTCTTAAGGTAGTCCCAAACAGAACTTTTGATGGCGTTTCTCCAGTAGTTGTGTGGATAGCACTCCGGTATGCCATAAGAAACAATGGTATATGACGATCCCAATCCCGTTGATTTTCGTCGACTACTTTAGCCAGATGTTCAATCAGGGTTTGGTTAAATAGTTCCACCATACCGTCAGACTGTGGGTGAAGAGGTGTCGTTCGAGTTTTGTTTATACCCAGCAGCTTGCACATTTCACCAAACAGTTGTGACTCAAAATTTCGACCTTAATCTGAGTGGAGTTCCAATAGGACACCATATCGACTAATCCAATTGAGTACAATTTCCTCAGCGACGGTACATGCTTCTTGGTTGGGTATTGGAAACACCTCAGGCCATTTGCTGAAATAGTCCGCTACTACCAGAATGTAACGGTTTCCATAATCTGATACCGGAAAGGGTCTAGCAATATCTATAGCAATCCGTTCAAAAGGGACACCAACATTGTAGATTTGCATTGCTCCTTTTAGCCTTCTTTTGGGTCCTTTGACTGAAGCGCATGTGTTACATTTTCGACACTAGCTTTCTACATCTTCTCTAACGTGAAGCCAGTAGAATCCTTCTCGTATTTTGTCAAGGGTCTTGTTCATTCCTAAATGTCCCCCAGAAGGGCCGCCATGCATTTCATCAAGGATTTCGGTCGTTCTACTTCTTGGTATTACAACTTGCATGCGGTGTTTTGATCCATCAGCTGATTCCCATTTTCGTTTCAGCAAATCCCCTTCCAAATACAAAGAGTCCCACTGAGCCCAATAACCCTTTAACACGGCACTATATTCTGAGATGCTTTGCCAGTCCGGTCGCTTGCCCTCCTTCTTCCATGTGATCAGATGTTGTAGGTCCTCATCCGCAAACTGTCGTTTGCGGATGAGGACCATGATCCGTCGCAAGATCCGTCGGTGTCCAACCGTCATCCGCTGATATTAATGTTGCTCTTATGTCTTCCGATTGTATCTTCTCCTCGTGACGACAGCAATATTTGCATCCTGGTAAACATGGTTGACGTGAGAGAGCATCAGCATTACTATGAGTTGTTCCTTTGCGGTGCACGATCTCGAAGTCGTACATTTGTAAACGGGCCATCTGTCCTTTAAGATCCTTGAAGTTGAGGAGCCATCTTAACGCTGCATGATTAGTTCGGAGAAGAAATTTCTGTCTATAAAGGTACTTGTGGAAGTGTTTTGTTGCATTGACTATTGCTAGTAACTCCTTCCTGGTCACACAATAGTTTCGTTCGGGCTTTGTGAATCCTCTGCTATAATACGCTAGAACCTTTTCTTCTCCGTCTATATGCTGTGACAAAACGGCTCCGATTCCGTTGTTACTTATAATCAAAATAAAATTAAATCAACGCAAAAACGGGTAGTGCCGTCCTTCTTTTTTACCAAAACAACTGGCGAAATCCAGGGACTTGATGACGGTTCGATGACGCCTTGATTCTGCATTGTCGTTATCATTTCGTTTACTTCTGTTTGTTTTGCTAGAGGAAGACGTCGTGGTACTTGTCGGATCGGTTTCGAATCCTGAGTATCAATTCGGTGAGTTACCAGAGCTGTTTTACCTTGGTCATTGTCACCGGTTGAAAACACGTCTGCAAAATTAGCAATCAACGCCTCGGCTTTTAGACGGTCTTCTTGATACAAATTGAGTTCATCCAGTAGATTTTTGGTAAGTTCTTTGAGTCTACTTTTGTCAGTTGGTAGAACCTTTTCTTGTTGCTCCATATCTAATGATTTCACCAAATTTATTGATTGGCAATTACCTATTTCCTCGCCTTTTTTAATTCTAATAGTGTGTTTAGCGGTATTCATTATTCTGACAGGAATAAGACCATTTTTGTTCGCTTCTACCAGGCATTTTCCAATGACCGCGTTCTGTACATTTGTCTTTGAGGTTGGCTCCATCAAATAGAACTGGTGGCCCCTTGGATCGCAATTCAACTTGCGCCATACGATGTTTTCAGATGATTGAGGTAGTTCTATGTCACAATCGACTGTCACTCGAATGCATTTTTCGTCGCTATCCCCCATTATCACTTCTGTATTTCTCCATCTAAGAATGCGTTTTTCTAAGTCAATTTTGAACCCATATTTTGTCAGAAAGTCGACACCTATTATGCATTCGTCGATGATATCCGCGACTAAGAATGAACCTTTGAATAACAAGTCGCCTAGCTGAACAGTACGGAGAATCTTTCCATAGACTGAAGCTGTTCCTCCGGTAGCTGTTCGAAGGATGTATTTGTTAGAAGTCTCTTTCTTCAGATTGGGTACCAAATCAGATGTTAAAATCGATTTTGTTGCTCCGGTGTCGACAGTAATTACACATTCTCGTTGATCAACTTTTCCGTTCAGCCATAGGTCGTTTCGATTTCGATGTAGTCTGGAAACGTTAATTACGGTGCTGGGGGCGTCAATTCTACTAGCCAACCTCTGCCCCACAAAGTTGGCTTTTATTAGTTCTCCCGCCCCTTCGTTAAAAGGGGCCGATCGTGATACAGGATCATCTTCTCTTCTTTTTGCGCCATCTTGTCGCGCAATTTCGGCAGTAGTTATCTTTTAGGCAGTGTTTACAATCACGACGTAGATGGCCTTTTTCACCACAAATCCAGCATTGGGGTACACCATGCTGTTGAGGTTCGCGTTTCACAAACACCTTCTGGCAAGGGCATTCTTCATGTACTTGGCGTAGACGTACGTCACTTTTTGATGCTTGCTTTGCCGATTCAAAAGTGAGACTGTGCGCAACGGCATCCTTGAGTTTTCGTTTATCTGACAAGAGAAGGGATTGTTTGAGTTCCGAATCACGAAGGGCTTTGATAAACGTATCCAGGGCAGTTTCGTCTCTATGCTCGGGGTCTGATGTCGGATACGACAGCAATGTCAACCGTTCGATATCTTGTGCCAGCTGCTGAATGGATTCACCAGCTGTTTCTAAGCTGAGACCGATAAATCTGTTTCATGTGTTCTTCACCATAACGTAAATCCAACGCGCTAACCAGAACTTCATAGTTGAAGTGGTTCACGCAGGAATCGTCTGAAGAACCTCTGCTGCTGAACCTCGCAGGGCCAGTATCAGTGCTGTTGCTCGTTCTTTTCCGTTCCAACAGTTACTAGTTGCCGCTGCTTCGAACTGGGTTTTATAAACGTTCCAAGACATCTCTCCTTCAAATGCTGGTACCTTCAAAGTTCTTCCGGATGCGTGATCTAACGGCATGGCCATTTTTTTGGATTGCTCCAATTCTCGCTTCAATTTGTCTATCTTGTGATCTACCTCAACGGTCTGACGATCAAGTTTCTGCTCGATCATTTCTATTCTTGTTGACTGTTCTTCAATCTGTTCTGCCACTTCCAATTTTACGTGTTTTAGCAGGTCCTTGATCTGTTTTAACTCCTCTGTCTGTCGTTCGGATTGTTCCTTGATCTGTTGTTTTAACTCTTCTGTCTGTCGTTCGGACTGTCGTTCGGACTGTTCTTTGATCTGTTTTAACTCCTTTGTCTGTTGTTTTAACTCTTCTGTCTGTCGTTCGGACTGTAGTTCGGACTGTTCTTTGATCTGTTTCATTTCAGTTGACATACTAAGTAGAAGTTCCATCATTTTAGCGGTTGTAAACGTGCCTGTGCTAATTTCATTGTCTTCGTCATCACCATCAAACTTGAATTCGTCTGGGTTCTTACCTTCGTCAATGAGAGCTTCTCTCAGACGTGCTACTAGTACTTCTTTGTTGCCACTTTTGACAAGGCTTCGTTTCTGTAGTTCTTCTCGTAGCTGAACTACGTTCAAACCACACAGTTTTGACATCGTGTTCTTTTTCTATGAGTAGTAATTCACTAGTCGAAGATCCCACTTCTGACACCAATGTTATAATACTCGCTGTCGTAACCGATTTACGATGCGACGGGTTCAAATCCTCGATTGAATAAAATATTCCAAACAGTTATTAAACTTTATTTACAGAAGAAATCAACTATTATTAGTTATTAAACTTTATTTACAGAAGAAATCAACTAATCGTTTATTTCCAGTAAATTCAAACTAACGCAACAATTAACTTTTAAATCGTTCAAAATCTATCGCAATCACGAATTTCACTAATCACGAATTTCACTAATCACGAATTTCACTAATCACGAATATCATTAATCACGAATATCACTAATCACGAATATCACTAATCTTCCTGCGACGTGCGCTTATATACTCTTCGCAAGCGTCGTTTCTAGATTCTTCCAGATGGTCCGATTCTAGCATACTCAAGAATGCTCCAGTCACTAGAACATTCCAGAATACGCTAGAATCTAGTGCGTTCGGTAGCACGGTTATAACAATATATCTGTCAGAAATGCAATTATTGATGAAATCAAAGCATGTTCGGCG